AACAGTGAAAGTTTTCTTTCCGGCATTAATAGTCGTATACTGTGGATTTGTGCTGATGTATGGGTGTAATCTTTACCTACTAATAAATCAGCTATTGCTTCTGGTTGTCCGTCATGGTTGTTTTGCAAAAAATCCCCTCGATTTACAGGAAATCAACCCGCAGTCCCTATTTTAGTGGCACGCAGAGAAAACGTTTCGTTCTTACAAAAAGCCCCTACACTTTTTAGTATTCAACCCGCGATCCTTTACGTTGAACACAGACGACGCTCGAGCACAACTTTTGGATCGGGTCAACGCGGCTGCTCGAGCGGCTGTGGGCGGCGCGGCGGCTCGAGTGGCTGGGGCGGCGCGTCGGCTCAATCCAGTACGGCGGCGACGGCTGGAGCTTGCAGGGGCCGGATCCGTGCGCGGCAGGTGCTATGCAGGCGAATTCGGAGGAAGGCGGTGAGGCGGGGATCACCGGTGATGACGAAGAAGACAGGAGCGCGGCTTCCCGGGGCAGATCAATGGAATCTGCGGCTCCAGGAAGAAAGGAGATATGGAGGTGAGGGAGAGAAGATGGGGGAAAGGAGGGGTGGTGCGGCGACCTAGGAAGGAGCTCGCGGGAGCTCGACGACGGCGGACGGGCACGTGAGACAGAGGGATTCGGTGTCGCTACTACTCTCCTGGTCCCTGTCTCGCCTCCCTGGTATTCCTTCCTCCTCTCACCTCTCTTACCTTGACGACATCTGCTGCGTCGACCAAGCCTGGGCCCCACATCACCAGCATCTCCACCTCGAGTACTCCTGCCTCAAGATGGCAATGGGGCCCCGAAACCCGCGTCCCCGTGGTTTTTTTATCCTATTAGGGGACGGGGATGAGCATCTTTTCATCCCCGCGGGGCTGTTGTTGGGCACATTATACAACCCGACAGGTTTCGTGGGTTTACACCCGTTTCGGTAATCCCCGAACCCGAAACCCGGCAATACCCGCGAAATTACATTATTTTTGTACCACCGTAGTCATCTTACCCCCGAAATCTTAGAGGCCTTGATGTGTTCACAAGATTGGATAAGAAAAAAATATATGGGTGTGTCTTTCTTTACATATCATCATAAAGTTTATCACTATCTTGCTGCAATGTTTCATAAGATGTTCATTACTACTTATTTGATTCTCATAGATGCTGACAATGAATAAGGACAAAGCTTTTGGAGTTGTCTTCAAGACTTTACATTCTCATAGATTTGGCATTGGAAGATTTGAAGATGGTCGTTTGGAGGCTTGGAGATGTGAAAGATGCCATGATGATTCCAATTTTAAAGTGATTTGTGAACTATAAGTTCTATTTCAGAACTTATATAGCTGTTGAACCATCTACTATTGTTTTTTGTTGAAATTTACTTAAGTTATACTGCTGAAATGTGCTTGTTTTGCTGCTGAAATGTTATTCTTTGTCGCCACTATGTTTGTTTAAATATTTTGATTTTATCGTGGGTTCCCCGTGGGTTTCCCGAAACCCGATGGGTTTAGGGGACGGGCAGAAAACTAGCCCCGCACACGATGATAGGGACGGGGACGGGTTTACGATTTTTTCGTGGGGATGGGTTTGGGAAGGCAAAACCCGATGGGTTTCGTCCCCGTTGCCATCTTGACTCCTGCCACTGCACCCAGCGGCTCGTTGCCATGACCGTATCCAGCAAGGTACCTCCAATACGCACCCTCTCCCATGCCACACATGCTATTTTACTCGGAGAGGCCATTGCTCACGTATTGGATTTTGGCATCTGCTCTGTTGCCGTGCTTCAGTTCTTTGTTGGAGGAACCTTAATTTTGTTTGCTTCGGTTGTTCTTTGATCTTAGCTCTCAGGTCCCAACATATACATTACAATATGTTTGTTATCTGTAGGGATGGAGTGAAGAAATTGGATTGGGATCATGGAGTAAATCAAACGAGGATGCAACTCATGTTCGTGTAGGTAGCCATTCAGACATTTCTTAACTCTTTAGCAAATAGTTCACATGGTAGAGCCAGCCATGGTGCACATGCTAGATAGTTTTAGTATTCAGTCTTTCAGTTGCTGCTAGCTCTACTCTGCTTTGTCCTTTCGTAATGGTAATGTAGTAGCTGTGTGACACGATTGCAACGCGGAGTCTTCACTGCATATTACCTACCGGGAACAGATGTGTTTTTGTCGACATAAAATTCTAACCTGAATTTGCTATTCAGGTGGCAAATCCAATTATTTATGTATTGTATTTGCATTTTGCAAGATAATTTGGCTGCTAAAGTGCTACATCGTATCTCACTAGACCTATTGAGCAAGTGGTTATTTTTCATTTATATACCATTCAGATTTCTATATGCACTGCACATAGATTCCTTTCATTGTCCAGTTACCAATTTTTGTAAGGGTCATACTTACTGGACCATGGCATGCCCTTCCAATGCAGGTTGCTTCCATGACCATACTTCAAATATGGGAGATTAGTTTGCCTATTATCATCAACTTTGGACCATCTTTACGTGCGCATTTTTTCCAAAGCGTAGCTGTACAAAATAAACTGTATTGGTTTTCAGTTTTATAATTGTCCATGGCTTTGCTCACATCACAAATTTTGATAGCTAGACAGTTCCTGAGTTCGGTGCAACCGAAACACTTATAATCCAGTCCAACATAGATAGTTTACCCCTATTGGACATGCATTTATCTTCCTCGATGAGTATGGCAGAATCCAACATCCTTTCGTCCTCTAAATTGGGGATCCATGGCTGCCAACCGACGAAGCAAGACCGGAGACCACCCTCTCCTCCTCCAATTTGGAGCTCCATGGTCACCATTCGACAGGCACACTGCCGTGTGGCCTCCTCACCGCCTCACCTGGGAGAGCGCAGACGCCAACATCGCCCACGACCCGCCTCTTGTTCGGTCAACAAGTTGTAGTTCAATTAGGTCTGTTGCTCCTCTTACATGTAGAGCCTGGGAGATCATGGTCTTCTCTCATTTTCTTTTGAACAATATATACACTGCAGGTATGTGAGAAGAAATATTGTATTTCTTGGAAAAGATATGCGAAATTAGCAGGCATCAATTTGACTAGGTTTACAAGCTATTAGATGTGCATTTTTAAGATGCGGTAGTCATACTTTCTACTGGAATTTGACTTATAATTCTAATAATTTGTTGGTCAGTGTATCTACAGAATATATGCAGCTACAATTTGAATTTTTTATGTCAATTGAACTTTAGATGAAGACGAACACATCTGTTTCTAGAATGTTGACCTATTTCTGTATGCAAAATGAACTATTGTATTTTATAAAACTAAAATATGTGCAATGGTTGCTGACGAGGAATTTTTGCTTAATGGCTATCTATTTTCTCTCTCATTTGAACCATAATGAAGATGATACGGTCAAATTATTTGAGGTGACTCATCCTGGTTTATTTTCTCATTGTCATATGAAGTGCCAAATATCAATATTCTACATTTGCTGCCAATATTTTACAAATTAGCTTCAGTTATTTATTGCTGTGCATCTTTTTCTTTTCTTGAGATGCTTCTATATATATGATGACTGTCTCTTCCCTGGTTATTGGTTTAATGTTTTCAAATGACAAACATAGCTAATTACTCACCTTTCAAGGGGAGATCTGTTTTAATCCTTACATTCCACGAGTTCCACACCTATTGAGTAAGCAAAGTTTGGTCTAAGAAAGTGAGGCTGTTCGTGTAATTTTCATTGGTCATCAAATCCCTTTGATAGGGGTTAAAAGAGATGGTGGCTTCAACTATGCCTGAAGAGTTTTAGCGACCCTTTGGTTGGTTACCAAATAACAGTTGACATGTTTTTTTCTATACCTCACTCTTTCTTGGTGTTCCTATTTTCTGTAGAATCTGAGTGGTATATTTGATAGTTGATGCAGTTCTGCCGTTGTAGGTGTGCTTTTCTGGTACAATGACAAGTGTCCTATTTTTGAAAAAAATACAGTAAGGATAGCTCAGCAGAAAAACTTTCACGAAGTAATAGTGATGTATTACCTGTGCCCGTGATATTGTTCTGACTTTCAGGAAGTGGTATCAAGGAATGTGCTGCTGGATGAAGTATCATGGTAGATAGTTGGAATGGAACATGCAAAAGCAAAAGTATGGAAATTTGCGGGCAGTCTGCTGCTTCCTTTAGGAGAGGTGATGGTGATACCCTTTGTTGGTACCAAATAATAGTTACACTGTTTATGAGATTACATTGAGAAAAGCTCAGGGTTCATTGGCCCAATTACAATGGATTTTACCGTAAAAACAAAAGTTAGCTAGCTCTTGTGTCGTCTCATTCACTTCTCTTCCATGGTTCTTGCATTCGATCTTCCAATTCGATTTACAACTTAAGCATTAGTTTGTGAAACCGACGGATTAATGAAGCGCGCATAGTGGTTGAGGGAGAGACATGATGCGAGAGAGAAACTTCAGCGCTTGTTGCGACACATGGTTATTCCTCGCCCTTTCTCTTCAGCAAAGCACATATGAAGGAGAGATGGGGTGAGTTTGGTAGTCATCATCCAATCTAAGCATCACTAAACTGAGTTTGAGCTGTTATTTTTTATCTCTATAGGAATAACCCGTTAGTATTTGACTGAATAACTTTGAACCAGTTACTATTTTTAAAATAGGGTGCCATGTTGAAATAGAAGGCAGCAGTTTCCATCCATGTTTTCTCCCGTTGCATCGCACGGGCATTTGTGCTAGTGTAACCTAAACCTTGTATGTGGTCTTGGGTATTCCTACCCACTCTACCCCTTTAATGCACAGTACGCGTATTCTAGGGGCAAAGAAACAAAGACATTACATGAACTGGTAAAATAGCACACTATATAATTTACAAAAAAAAGGAATCAGCGTGCATCACGTCCCATGCAGAAGAAAAAGGCAAAAGGAAAAGAAAACAAGGAAACGTCAAGCGACGTGCTCGAAGAAGCAGTCTGGGATGGCAGCGCTTGTGTTCTTGATCTTGCAGTCTAGCCTCAGTTGCACCGTGGGGAGAAGCAGAAATCGTTGGCCGAGAATGACTTGGTTATCTTCCCGGCGTGGATTCTGAGATCGTTGCCGTTGCGGCGGATGCCCCGAACGCGGATAAACGGAATAAAGATCTTCACCTTCACGCCCTCAAGGCCCGTGATCAAGCCGTTCTGGATCTTCCCGGCGATCCGGCTACTGTACTGGATGTTATGCCCGGCGATGCGGACTTTGCAGTCGTTAGAGAGGTGTACCTCAAAGGAACCATCTGGCCGGAGCTCGTAGCCCTGCACGCCTTCCGGGAGGATGCCAGGTGGGAAGCCATACCGCCCTAGCATTTCATACGCGGTTGGCATGTTTCTTGAGTTCCGGTCATCGGCTGCTGGGGCAAGGCTCGCGGCCCGGGTGGTGGCTATGGCTGTGAGAAGGATGGAGACCATTGCCATGAGCAAGGGGATAGAACGCTTCGCCATTGCGGGTGGGGTGTTTGGGCTATCGGGTGGACAATTAATGCTTCGTACATATATTTTCGTAGATATATTTTCGTGGGAGCACAGTGATGCTACTTATGTATCTCTATCTCTATCTCTATCTACTCCCTCTCTCAGTTTACAGGGCATGCGCGTACCCTTAGATCATCAACTTCATCAACCTAATACAAGTCATATATTACAAAAAATATATCAAAATAAACTTCAGATGTTCTATTTTTAAACAATATAATTTTTGTGTTATATGGTTTATATTAGAGTGATAAAATTAGCAACCTAGGTATATGTGCATGACTTGTAAACCGAAACGGAGAAAGTACTGATAAAGTACGGACCGTTTCTGGTCGTCCATCATCAAAATTATCTCTGGAGTTGTAAATAATCTTTTGGTCATCCGTCATTAAAATTATCCCTGGAGTTGTAAATAATTACCCACGATGTCATTGGAAAGTGAAAAAAGACCATTTGTTTTTTTCCTTCTAAAACCGCCGGTAGTTTATAGTATTTATATTAAGCCTCTATCATACATCACTAGCATAAAATAGTAATTATCGAAGGTATAATCACGCGCCACATTTTTTAGTGTTAATTGGTTTGTGTTGGCATTTTAGTGGATAGTTAGTGTAGCCAGTAACAATTTTGTTCATTGCAATTAATTACAAGGTGGCAATGTCTGACAGGTGAAAATGTCTATATCAGTAAATTTGACTATTTACTATGGCCCTGGTAATGTTCGATATAATGAGTTGGGGGTTGATCTTAGCGAGTTTAAAAATGGCGTCATGACACTTTTAGATCCGGACAGACTGGACATTAGACAGTTGAAGCACTGGTTGACTACTAGTTTTGGGTTGGATCCTGAAGTATGTTCCGTCAGTATTCATGCATTATGGACCAAATCCTGTAAAAATGTCAAGTGGGAGTTGATGCCGATAGATAGGAGCCAGCATTGGTTGACCCTGTTAAGTCGTTGCCGTGATCGAAGAATCCACCCATATGTCCTAGTGCAGCCAGTGGCAAAGGAGGAGAATACCGTACAACTCCATGTGGGGTATGAAACCGGCCAGGGTAGTCGAGTTGCTAACGAGATTCATTTATCCGGGTCACAACCACCGGATGTGGATCCTAGCCAAACCGAGAAGGAGCCAGACTACATGCTGGACAATGTATATGGTCATGATACTAGGCAGAATATTCAGTCGATAATATTAGTTGGTTCTAGTGTTGCTGATGGGGATGAGGAAGGCGATGAAATGCAGAGGGTGATGGAGGAAGAGGACGAGGATGGATATGCGGAGGATCTGGATTCTGAAAATTCTGAGGATGAAGTGGAGGTACCGATTCCTTCTGCATGGAATCATGACATATCCACCGGCCTTACTGTGAACGATGGCCATGAGACTCCATGGCAATATAATCTGAACCAAGTCCAGATAGGGGCTATGTTTGATACAAAGAAAAAATTGAAGTATGCAGCGATAAAGTGGGCTATGTCTACTCAGAGGGTTTTCCGGACACACATATCAAACCCAACAATCTATACCGTGAAGTGTGTTGAAACAGGTTGTCCTGCGAAGGTGCACGGGCATGTGCCGAAGTATAACATCCACTGGGTTGTCACAAATGTGGTCCCACATAATTGTGTGAGGAAAAACTTATTGGTTCGTCATCCAAACCTAAATTCAACTCTCATTGCGCAACTCATGTATACTGAGATAGTGGAGAAAAAAGATATGGAAGCAAAACACATCCAGACAGTAGTGAAGGTCAGATGGAATTATAACATTCCTTATGGGAAGGCTTGGAGGGCTAAGCAGGAGGCTATGGAGGAAAGGTTTGGGACATTCTTTGACTCATATGATAATGTTGTCCGTCTCCTGGATGTGAAGGAGAGGAATCCCGGCACTTATGTTAACGTACAACATACAAGGTTGCTGAGTATACCAGGTTTCAGTGTGTTGAAATGAGTATTCTTCTCTTTCGCTATGCGCATTGAAGCTTTCCGGCATTGTCCTCCTGTGATGTTTGTGGATGGTACATTCCTTACTGGTCAGTACAAAGGGCAAATCCTGACTGCCATTGGTGTGGATGGAAACAATCAAATCATTCCACTTGCCATGGCATTTGTGGAGGGTGAGAACTTTCCGAGCTAGGTATGGTTCTTTCGACAAGTGAAAATTGCCATCGTGAAGGATCGACCAACGTGTGTGTCATTCATGATAGGCATGCTGGTATATTGAAGGCTGTGAAGACATTAAGGAATCCGATAATAGACAAACCAACACCTTGGAAGGATTTGCAGAGCCGGTGGTGCATGCGCCATCTTGGCGCTAACTTTTTCTCACAGTTCAAGAACAAGCGGTTGATGAACTTGTTTAAAAAATTGTGCAAGCAGAACCAGGAGCGTAAATACCAATTTATTTGGTCAAAACTTGATGAGTTTACTAAGAAGTAGGTCCGTGCTAGGAAGAAAATGGAAAAGGACCAACAACAATTAGCAACACTCATGGCGGAGCTAGAGGAGCCAGTTGGTCTTTGTGACTTGCCAGCAATTGACCCTCCTAATACTAAGAGAAAGAAGGGGAGGGAAATAAAGGATTTTTCAGAGTGGATAGAGAAAGAGCCTCCCGTGAATTGGTCTTTGTTGCATGACACCCATGGAGCTAGGTATGGCCACATGACAACCAACCTTGCAGAGGTGTATAACTTTGTACTCAGAGGGAATAGAGCATTGCCACTCACAGCTATTGTGAAGGCTGTATTCCATGGCACTTTGAGATATTTCAGAGACCGACACGAGTTAGCAAAGAAGCATATTATAGATAATTAGAACACACCTTACTGTAGCCGTGTCATGGAGTATATGGAAGAGAAGATAGAGAAAGCAAAGAAGCACACTGTGAGACTCGTAGGTAATCAGGAAAGGAGGTATGAGGTTCAGCTACCTACCGATGGTTTTGGTTCTGCGAATGAGGTGAAGACGCATGAGGTAAAAATTGGAACGGAATTTTATCCAACGTGTGAGTGTACATGCAACAAACCAAAGTTGTTGCACCTGCCTTGCTCACATGTGTTGGCTGCCTGTGGCCAGATTGAGTTGGCTGCCGTCTCCTTTGTGTCGCCATACTACTTAAAAGAGGCTGTACTGAACACATGGACGGGTGAGATGACAGGGTTTAGAGTCGTTGGCAATTTCAACAAGGTTAAGGACGGTGAGAGAGTATACATCCCGGATCCAGAACTTCAGCGAACAAGCAGGGGTCGACGTAAGGCCCGTCAAATCCGAAACGATATGGACCAATCTGAAGCTGGTGGAGCAACTAGACAATGTTTGCTATGCGTGGCTTATGGGCATAGGATGAAATATTGTCCTGACTTGAACAAAGATGGTGCTTCCACATCACCGAGTGCTTCCACATCGACGGCTGCAACAACAGGAGCAAGAGGCGGATGTGGTCGTGGCAGTCGAGGCCGAAGGGGAGGACGAGGAAGGAATAACTCACAAGCTATATAATGTGGGGGAGAATGTTTTAATTTGTAATATCGTCTGGACTATGTTTTACTTTGTAATGTCTGAACTATGTATTAATTTGTAATGTCGACTAGACTATGTTTTACTTTGTATGTCTGAACTATGTTTTAATTTGTAATGTCCTCTGTACTATGTTTTACTTTGTATGTCTGAACTATGTATTAATTTGTAATGTCTGGACTATGTTTTGATTGCAGATATGTCTTTGTATCCGTTGCTTAATGGTACGATTGATAGAGGTCACCGGGCTGCACTTATGCAAGGGGGCAAGAACTTAGACGTTTCTGTCACTCGCACCCCAAAGACTAACTGGATGATACACCCTTCATGGGTTGATAGGTATTGATACATATAGTGCCTTACATGTTTGAAATAGGTATTGAAACATATAATTACTTACTTTTCATGCTACATTCTCTTTTTTTGTAGGTTAAGTTGGGCTGGACTTCTACCCTTGGCACGGCTGGTTGAGGGTACGTTGCAAGAGTGGGTTGACCATTCGAACTTGGATGAGGAAGGTGAACCAATGCAGTTGAAAAAGAGGCAAGTGAAACGATTCTCTTACGACAGGTCACTACTTACCTGCTTAGTAGATAGATGGAGACCAGAGACACATACCTTTCACTTTCCCTGGGGAGAGATGGCGCCTACTTTACATGATATCTCCTACTTGTTGGGATTACCTTTGGCCGGTGATGCCATAGGTCCTTTAGAGGCAGAACCTAGCTGGCTTGCAAATATGCATGCCTGTTTTCTAGCTACGGTGCCAACTGCTACGGGCTTAGGTGGTTGAGCCAGTTTCAGGTAACCTTCGTGGCCACATGACTATGTTTTTTTAGTTACCAATAGTACATCATTCACACAATCGTATGTTTTCTATGTAGATTGTCTCATTAGGATACCCCACAGTAGATTTGTCAGACGCACAGATTGATCGATCCCTAGAGGCATATATTCTATGGTTGTTCGGCAAGATGATGTTCACGGAAAACCACGTGACCACTGTTGATGCACGACTCATCGGTATTGCATGAGAGATAGCTGACACACGTTGCCCTGCGGATATTGTCCAGAGGAGTTTTGGTTCTGCCATGTTAGCAGCTACGTACAGAGGCTTGTGCAAAGGTTGCTTGCTGAAGTCTAGAAAGTCAGGTCTGGTTGGATGTCCACTATTGTTGCAGCTCTGGTCATACGAGAGATTCCCTATTGGACGACCCTATATCTCCATTGACACACCGTTTGGGTTGGAGGACATAGGAGGGGCTTACGTGGCTGCTATCGGCGACTTGCTTACTATGGGATCTGTTTGGGCACGGAGAGAGGTACTTTTAAATTATGTAATTCTTTCAATTATTTTTGCTATGCAATAGTATTACTAATGTAAATTTGTTGTCATGTACAGAGACAGTTTGCACATACCCAGGTGAAGGGCTGCTGCCCGTCCTTCACG